TGATGATGCGTTGAACTCGCTCGCCGTCATTTTTGAAGTTGTGGAGGCGCTCGGTGAATTGCCCGAGCAGATTTCTGCCGTGCTGCTCGCGCTTCTCTCGAAGCCCACTGGCGGCTACAGGCCTATAGGGGTGTTCTGCTCCTGGTACAGGGTGTGGGGGAAGCTTCGGCGCCCCTTCGCCCTTACCTGGGAGCAAGAACACCCCCGTAGGTACTGGGCTGCTGGTGGGCATCGAGGTGCTGCTGACGTCGTTTGGAGGCAGTCTGTTCGGGCTGAGCACGGCACGGCGTCGAAAGAGGTCTCGTGCAGTGTGTTCTATGATATGCTCAAGTATTGCGAGACCATTGACCTTGACAAGTTGATGTCGCAATGTCAGAGACACGGATTTCCCACTCCGATTGCTCGCCTTTGCATCTTTGCCTTTCGGCGTGGTCGGTTCCTGTCCTTGGGAGGCATCCTTACTGGCCCATTTTTTGTGGAACGAGGGGTGGTGGCGGGCTGTAGTTTCGCCACCACCCTCATCGGGGTCTTTGCCCTCGACGCGTTCGACTCGATTCCCTTGACCCCCAGATGCGACCTGGACATTTACATTGACGATTCGGGTATTTCTGCGACTGGCCCTCGTCACCGTGTTATTGCCTCTATTGTCTCCAGCTCGCAGGCCTTGCACACGGCTGTGACCGACATGCTAGGCTGCAGTATCGCCCTGTCCAAAGTGTGCACGGTCTCCTCCAATAGGGCTGTGGCCAGAGAGGTTGGCAAGCAGCTTGGCAGTCTGGCAGGCAGGATTGAGGATTGCACGGTCAACTTAGGTGTGGACTACGCGGCGGGCAAGTCCATTCGTGCGTCTGGTCGTGCTAGCAAGCTCAAGTCGAGGCTGGCTACCATGTGTCGTCGTGCCAAGAGGCTTAAGAGACTTTCAGGTGACCTGGGGCGTAAAACTCTTCGTGTGTTTTCTTCGGGCCCTCTTGCGGGCGGTTCCTACGGGGCCGACATTGTTGGTGTTTCCGACCACGACCTGCTATTGATGAGGAGACAAGCCTTCTCGACTGTGCGGCCTTTTTCTCAGGGCAGAAGTCTCACTGCCTGCTGTATTTTAGCTGACGATCCCACCTGGAGAGCTGCTTGCGCGCCAGTGCTTCGGTGGGGAAAAGAAATATGGCTTGCTCAGACTAAGGTCTTCCCGCACTCCCTGGCCCTCAAGGAGCTTAGAGATTCTTGGAATGCCGTCTGGGGCCTTAGCAAAATCAGTTGGGGTCTTGTCGGGGGTCCTGTTTCCGCTCTTAGGCTTAGCCTGGTCAGATTAGGGTGGCATATGGACAATTTCATGACCATCATAGACGACAGAGGGTACCACATTCCCCTCGGAGTGACCCCCCCTGCTCTGCTGTGCATTTTTGTCGGGAAGGTATGATCAGAGCTCTTGAAAAGGATTTGGGTTGCAAATGGTCGTCTGGGGGCCGCCTCTGCCTGGATGTCCCCCGAGCCGCTCTTGCGTCCAGCAAGTTTTCTGCCAGTGAAAAAGGCATGGTGCGAGCTCTGGCGTGTAACGCCATTTGGACGCCAGATCGTGCCATCTCCTGTGGGTATCAAGTCTGTGCTAAGTGCGTCCATTGCGGTGCGCCCGATTCCCTTCACCACCGTCTGTGGGTATGCCCACATGTGTGCGATCAGAGAGCGGAGCTTGCTAAGGATTGGATCATAGCTGCGGCCCTAGACACTGAGGCTGAAGGCTACTCGGACCTCCTATTCTGCTTCGGGGCTCTCGCCCATCCCGCCGATGCCCTTCCGAGGCCCTGTCTCGAAGGTAATGTGGTGTTCCGCTGGCATTGTGACCAGCTCGAGGGCCCCGAAGGCTTAGAGGCTCCCCATGAAGGTGCTGTCTGGGGCTCGCTGTTTCTCGATGGGTCTTGCAGGCGGCACATAATTCGTGAACTCAGCCGTGCGTCGTGGGCTATCACGATGTGCAACGATCGAGGGGACCTTTTAGGCGAGGTGATGGGGCCTGTGTGGGCTCAATACCCTCAGACCCCTCAGGCTGGATAATATTTAGCTCGTGGCATGGCTGGTAATATGGCCAAGTACCCTTCCACTCTGTACTCTGATTGCTTGAATGTTGTTAAGCATTCTAAGTTGCCTCCTGTCGAGCGCCTCTCGGGTAAGAGGGTGTACAGTGGCATAATCATGGAAGCCAATGCTCGAGAAGGCACGTGCATTTCTGATATTGTCAAGGTTGCTGCTCACAAAGACATAGATGAAGCTGGCATCGATCAGTTTGAACACTTTTGTCGTAAATGCAATAACGATGCAGATGCTGCGGCCAAAGCAGCGCTTTCGTTTCATGCGACCGATGTTAATGGCAGTGAAGATCTCAGCAAGAGGATCGACATTGCCAAAGCAGTGTGTCGACTGGGGGCCAAGCTTCTTTTAGAGTGGCCCCGTCTTGACCTGTCAGATGCCGAATACATTCCGCCTGCCCCCAAGCCCAGGCTCTCCTGGGACAAGCCTGGACACGACTGGGCCTCTTGGTCTGGTGTGTGGCGTTGTCGTGTGTGCTTGCTAGGTTCCAGGGCCTCTGGTGTCCCTGACCCTGGTATATGCACGGGCAGGAGCAAACTCGACGAAGGTGTGCTTGTGTCGCTGCGCCATCGCGTGTTGGCCTTCTCCTGCAGTGACGGTTTGCACCTTTTTGTTTGCGTGAAATGCCGTTACCACAGCACTGGTGCGCGTGTTGACGGCCTCGGGAAGTTTTGTAATGATCGGCCCTCCAGGCATGCTGAGTATTCTTGGAGAGACCTCTGCCGAGGAATTCATCCGAACCCCAGGAAGCGGGACGTGACGGTGAACACTCACCAGATTTGTGCACTGTTTGGTTCTCAGGCCGAGGAGCCTTCCTCGAGCAGCAGGGCCGAGGGGGCCCCAGCTGTGAGCCATTCTGTGGAGGAGGAGGTGGTCCCTGCTTCCTCGGTCGAGCCTCCCCCCCCCTCGGAGGAGGAGGTCCGTCAGGCCCGAGAGCTCAGCGTCGTCTCTAAGTCCCTCCGCCTTCTTGATGCCGCTCGAGGCGGCAGTGAGGGAAGGAGAGACCTGGATGCTGAGTCGGGTTCTGACTAATCATTCTCTCTGCCACCTATGTGGCTGTACCTCCTTGCCCTAGTGGCTTGGTGGATGCAGCAGCGATTTCCCAGCCGTCGCTGCTGACTGTGTGAGGCTGTGCGGGCGTTGAGCTCAAAAAAAGGGAGCTCCGCCGAGGGCCCTGGTGGGTGCGTTCGCATGGCGGCGCCCCGACCATTCCGGCACGCCCCGCACGGCGTCGCCTCGACCATCTCGGCACACATCCCTCGCCCGTTCCGTGGCCCCATGGGAGCTCTACCACCGAGAGCACCATCCCGTGCGTTCGCATGGCTTCACCGCCCCGCCCGTTCCAGCACACTTCTCACACACGTGTTCTGCCCCCCGGGGAGCTCCACCGAGGCCCCAGTGGGCGCCTTCTGGCCAGGCCGCGCTGGCGACGAGCATGACCCACCAACCAAAAAACGTTTGCGCCAAAACCTTCGTTTCCCACGGGCGCCATCCGAGGAGGGCTCATCGCGCGAGCCCCGTCCCTCTCCTCCCCCGGCTCGAGCCTGCCGCCGGCTCGCCCCAGAGCGCCTCGTGCTCCGAGGGGCGCTCGGGCCGTCCGCGGCTCGCTCCGAGTCTCGCTGGTCCGATCCCCATCCCTGGCGGCGTGGCCTGGGCCCCCTTTGGCCGATGTCCCCCCCCTAGACGGGGATACAGGCCGTCCCTAGGGGAACAAAAAGTGGCATAAGCATAAAAACTCGGAGGTCCGCGCGGATTTCTCGGATCGGCGCTGGGGCCCCCTGGCGGCGCCTCCGGCGCCGCCCCTGGCGCGCCCCGCGCGCCAGGGAGGGGGGTCCAGCGCCGACCCGAGAAATCCGCGCGGACCTCCGAGTTTTTATGTTTATGCCACTTTTTGCTCCCCTAGTCCCCTGCGGGTGTCGAGGGCTGTATATCCCCGCCCTGGGGTGGCGACTTGGTGGGGGCCTCGAAGGGCACGAGGATGGGGAGGGGGGTCGGGTAAACGATCTATGCCGGCTCTCTCCCCCCCCGCCCTTGCCCGCCCTGCCTTCGCTCTCCTGCCCCCCGGCTCGCTCACCAGCAACCCCGCTGCTGCTCGACCGCGACGGATCCGGGGCGCCGCACATACAACAAAAGGCTTCATCCTCCTCCTCCTCCTCCTCCTCCTCCTCCTCCTCCTCCTCCTCCTCCTCCTCCTCCTCCCCACCCCCGACGTGCTGAACACACGTCGGAGCGCAGGGGCTCCGTCGTTTGCGGGGTCTGGGGTCCACCGCCGAAGCCGGCACCGTCCAGAAGCGATCTGTCAGGAAGAACCGGGCCACAAGAAGGTGTTGCAGCATTCGGGGGACCCCGTGCAGAAAAAATAGCACGACGTCGGAAGAACGGGTCCACTTGTCCTCGTCGTCCTCGTCTTGTCCCTGCTTCCTGTCCGAGACGGTGCGAATGGCTGAGGTTGGGTCCCCTAAGCTGGGCTGACCCTGGGGGCCGCCAAGTACGGGGCCGCGCGGGTGGGTCCTGACAGGCCACCTGCGTTCTCGAGCGAGGTCCAGCGGCCAGAGCAGCGCGCAGATTTCCACGGCTCCGCAACGCTAGCGGCTCATTGCTCCACTGCGATGTCTTCGTCCTCGTCGTCGTGGTCGTAGTAGTCGCCGTCGCCGTCGTCGTCGTTGGTGTCGTCGTCGTCGGCCTTACCCTTTGCGGGCAGTCGTCGTCGTCGTCGTCGTCGTCGTCGTCGTCGTCGTCGTCGTCGTCCGCGCGATCGCCATCGCCATCGCCGCCGCCGCCTTTCTCGTCGTCGTCGCCGTCGTCGCCGTCGCCGCCGCCGCCGTCGCCGCCGTCGCCGCCGCCGCCGCCGTCGGCCCGACCCCTCTGCGGGCAGGGCGGCGCGGGGCCGCCCGCCACAGTCCCCACCCCCATCCGCCGAGGCGGTGCCGCCGCTCCCCGCGCCGGGCCTCCTGCGGGAGCGCGCGGCGGTGCCGCCCGGGGTCCCCAACAAGGGGAACCCGCAGGCCGAGCGGGCCGTCGGCGTCGTCGGCGGCGTCGTCGGCGTCTGTCGTCGGCGTTTGCCTTCGTCGGCGTCGTCGGCGGCGTCGTCGGCGTTTGTCGTCGTCGTCGGCGTCGCCGCCGCCGCCGTCGCCGTCGTCGTCGTCGGCGTCAAACTCGTTGGCGTCGTCGTCGTTGCTTGTCGTCGTCGGCGGCGTCGTCGTCGGCGTCGTCCCTGGCGTCGTCGTCGGCGTCGTCCTCTTCCCCGTCCTCGTTTTCGCTCTCGCTCTCGCTCTGCCATCTTCGCTCCCCAGTGAAAGGGGGGGGTCCGCGGGCCGTGGCGGGTTTCCGTGTCGCCACAGTCGGGTCTGGCCCTGGCTTCTCCTCGTCCTCGGTTCTCGTTCTCGTCCTCGCCGAACGTGGCCGTCCTCGTTATTGTTTTCGTTCGCATCCTCTTATTCCCGCCGTTCGCGCTGGCGCGCGGGGGCGCTGGTGGAGGAGGAGAAGGAATAATTATCATGCGACGAAGAACGTGGCCGATGATTCGGGGAATCGGTGACGATGGCGGGCGGAGGAAGGTAGAAAGAGGGAGCAGGGAGAACAGGACATAGGAAGAGGACTGAGGAGGGAGACGCTGCGCACTGAGGGCGGAACCCGCCGCCGAGCCAGCGAAAGAGAGATAGAGAGAGAGAGAGAGAGGCAGAGAGGGAAGAGGGACGAGGACCAGGATCGAGTGAAGATGGTTGGTGGGTGAGGGAGGGGCGAGACGAGGGATGAGTGGCGAGTAGCAAAGGACAACGGCCCAAGACGACGAAGGAGGGACACTTATCACACAAGAGGGGGGATGGGAATAGGAGGAGGATGAGGAGGAGCAGGAGGAGGGAGAGGAGGAGGATGAGGATGAGGAAGAAGGAACTATGAAATAGGAGGGAGGGGGATGAAGGAGAAGTCAGGAGATGGAGGACCATGGGGAGGAGGAGGTTAATAAAACCATGGTATACACATAATGCAGCAACGATGCTGCAATCCGCTCACCGTCCTAACTCCCCTCTTCACAATATTCAATATTGTTCACTGTGGGAAGTTCCTCCTTGAAAGACGAGTGACCCCATGTCCTGCAGTTCAGGCGAGAGAGCTCCGCTTCGAAAAGGTATTCACGTTCATGCTTTCAGCGTCTATCTATCAGCGCGGCGACGAGTTATGATAATACACTTGCAGGAAGTGTCCTGCGAAATCCCCTGCTTGAGAATATGCCCGCCCTCAATCCGTGCCTTGGTATCGCTCGGACGCGTGCATTTTTCCTTCGGCGAGGATCATCGAGGAGCATCCTTGATCATTTGGCAAAAAAACCTCGCACGAAACCAAACAAAAACACAGGGAATGGACGTCCGAGCGATGGCGAGGTGCTTGGCTCTCCAAGCTCCAACGCCTGGCCATGACACCGAAGGACACATTGAGCGCTGGATCCGAACTCCATCGGGGCCGCCCTCACCCGTGCACCTGCCCCTCGATGGAGCATGCCGAGATGCCTGACCACAGGAATTCTGGACGCCTCGATGAAGCATCAGAGGTTGGATAGGCGCCGCCCTCCATCCGCGCCACCTTTGGGAAGACGAGTGCGCGTGGCGCTACGGCGAGATCCGCCTCGATGAAGCATCAGAGCCCTGGCAGTGCGGCCGCCCTGGCAGCCACCGCCCGCCCCCCTCCACTCGCTGGCCCGCCCGCCGAGGCGCCGCGCGAGGCTCCGGCCCACCGCTTGAGGTTGATTCGTCTCTGCGCGGCCCGCTTTGACTCGACTCGCCGCTGGCGCTCTCGCCTGCGGCCGCTGAGGGCTGAGGAAACGATGAAGCATGAGAGGTTGGATAGACGCCGCCCTCCATCCGCGCCACCTCTGGGGAGACGAGTGCGCGTGGCGCCACGGCGAGACCCGCCTCTCCGCAGCTGGCCCCTTCCCGCGGTGCAGCCGCTTGCTGTGTTTTTGAGGCGAAGGTGCGCGCCGTGGCGTGGATAGACAGGTTTCGACACGGGCACCGCCGCAGCTTCTAGCCCGCCCCCTCTCCTCGGGGGCGGAAAAGAGGGGGGTGATGACTAGGGGGGGTGGATATCATGGCGGGGGCCATGATGTTTCCCCAGATTTCATGGCGCCCCTTCTTATTTCATTACGTCCGTGGCCCCCCCCGCTGGGCCGCGCACGTGCCGCCGGTCATGATTTGCGCCCCCCCCTCTTGGACACCCCCCTCTTGGCCGCCCCCGACTCTCCGTCCGTGTAGCCCCTTGGGGATTCCAGGCGTCGGGGCCATGATCAGGCGAAACGCCCGTCCCGCCCTGCCGACACGCCTGGCCGATGAGGAGTTTTTTTTTTTTTTGTTTTTTTTTTTTTTGGATTGGGGCGCAGGGTCCCCAGGAAGGGAGCCGCCACGATCGGGACCGTCCACCCCTCCAGCACTCAGCAGCGCAGCGCATGTTTTGGTCGGATGCGTCTCCTGCCGTCGCCACGACGACTACCGATGCCCATCGCCTCTCACCCACCAGCAACAGTACATTCCACAATTACCAGTACTTGCCAACCACCGCCGCCGCTGGATTTAGCTTGGTTGCGACGGGACCGTTCGTTTGCCTCTCACTCTGTCATTCTTCGTACGCTCCTGTCGCTTCATGCCCCCGGCGTAGGGTCCCGATCAAAGATTGAGTGCGGTGGCCCAGTCTCCTGAGCCTCGGCGCCGAACGAGAGGACATAGCAGCGCGTCTCCATGGTCTTGTTTTGCACCTTTACACAACCAAGCCCTGGTGACACCAAAACGGTGCTTGCCAATGTTGGCCGCGCTGGATCCTGTCGATCATTCCAAAGTGATAGAAAGCGCAATACTCGCCACCGCTCAATGCCAACCTGAATGCGGGATAAGCTGCTCAGCGCCATGATTATCGAACTCCTTTTCGACAATCGTCGTGCATGCACATGTGTCGACTGAGACACTTGCACTGCACCGAACTATATGAAATGCAGGGCTGATGGGACCAAGCCGCTTGGCAGTCTTGGTGGAGACGCTTTTTTTGTGGCCGAAGTTTGCGCCTTGACTGCTCGCGTCCTTTTTAATGCGCTCCCGTGAGCTGCGCGAGAGAACGCATGGGAGGACCAATGAGCTTTAAGACGAGCCCGCCTGCGGTGGTGGCAGGCACCTGTGGAGAAGAACTGCGCAATGCTGCCTGATCGCCGCCTCCCTCACCCCAGCCTCCCTCCTGCCCCCGCTTCCACATGCTCTTCCATTTCGCGTTGCTTCGTTCATTCGTTCGTCCGTCGTCACCGTCGTCGTCGCCGTCGCCGTCGCCGTCGTCGTTGTCGTCGCCGTCGTCGTCTTCGTCGTCGTCGTGTCGTTGGTCGTCATCGCCGTCGTCGTTCGTCTTCGTCACAGTCGTCAGCGGTGGCTTCCGTCTTCCTCCGGGCCTCGTGCCCCTCCGCGAGCGTGCGCGAGACCAGCTTGGAACGCGAGAATCCCCTACCCCCCCACCCTCCTTGTCAAGTCTTCGATCATGGACCCCTTGTTGAACGCATCCACCCCGCTTTCGCGCCGAGGACCGTCCGAAAACCGCCACAAATCATCAGGAAAAGAAACGCACACAGACACAATTAATCGTCGATCCCAAGGAAAATATGGGAAAATATGGGAAGTGGCGGGAAGACAGAAACCCAGAAAATATGGGAAAATATTTGGAATATTTTTATTTGTGTGTATTTGTTTGTGTGTCCCAGTTCCCCTTCAACAAAGACCGCCGGAAACCGTCAGAAGACGGCCGAAGACCGCCGTGGCGACCGCCGCAGACCGTCCGAGAAGCGCCCGCAGACCGCCGGAGAGGATCCGTGAGCGAGGGGCCACAGGGGAGGAGGAGGAGGAGCAGGAGGAGGAGGAGGAGGAGGAGGAGGAGGAGGAGGAGGAGAAGGAGGCCATGGGGATCCTTGCCTCCCCCTTCTGTCAAGGGAGGAAGCAGCCGCCCGGACCGGACAAGTGGCGTTGACGGAGCGGCCCGTGGCGTTTTTTCTGAACAGCCCTGCCTTTGTTGTTGAGTCCTTCTTCGGGCGCGTCTGCTACACGACTTCGCGTGTCGGGGCGGCTATTCCGAGCATTCCCTTTTTGGGTGGAGGGCAAAGGGTGAAATCTGGAATGCCGTCTCGATGGATTCTCGAGGCCCGAATCTGCAAGCGGCGCATCACAAGACGGATCTGTGTTCTCGAGGTGCAGAAGCCCACATGGATCTCAGCTGAGCCCTGCACCCTGGGAAAGGGCCCAGGCTCTCATGGGGGGCGGCTCTCGTCGACGTCTCTTCTGCGCCGCCAGCTCTCGCGAGCGCCCGCGGTGCGCCGTCGTGCCAGCCGGCCGCCTCCCTCGCCCCCCCCGCCGCGCCGCGCCGCCGCTGGCCCGTCCGGCGCCCCCGCTCCCCCGCCCCCGCCTTGCGCGAGGTCGGGCGGAGCAGCGTCCAGAGGGCGCCGCCGAGCAAGGAGCTCTCGCGCCTCCCGCCGCCGCCCGTGCCCATGCCGCCCCTGCCTATTCGTCCTCGATTCTCCTCCTCCTCCTCCGCCTCCTCCTGCTCCTCCTCCTCCTCCTCCTCTCCTCTCCTCCTCCTCCCTCCTCCTCCTCCCCACTCCTCCCCACTCCTCCTCCCCCCCCTCCTCCTCCTCCTCCTCCTCCTCCTCCTCCTCCTCCTCCTCCTCCTCCTCCCCACTCCTCCTCATTCCTCGCCTCCCCCTCCCCCCTCCTTCCTGAGTTCCTCTCTCCCTCCTTCCCCGTCTACTTCCTCTTTCCGTTCGATCGCCCCTTCCCCCTACTATTGGGAGGGAGGGAGGGGGAGGAGGAGGGAGGGGGCGGAGGGAGGAGGATTCTCGGAGTTTTCAGGGACTTCACTTCGAGGAGGTTCTACGGTTTTGGGGGGTTCGGGGTTGCTCCTCCTCCTCCTCCTCCTCCTCCTCCTCCTCCTTCTCCTTCTCCTCTTCCTCCTCTTCCTCCTCTCCCCCTCTCCTCGCTTTCCCTGCTTTACTTCCTCTCCGTTTCCTCCTCCTCCTTCACCTCCCGTTCCCCCCCTCCCCTTCCCTTCACCGCCTCCCCCTCCTCCTTTCCCTTCTCCCTCCTCCTCATCTGTTCCTTCCCATCTCCCTCTCCCGCTCCTGACTTCAAAGTCTACATGGTGGAGTGCCATAGGGAGCAAGGCATCAACGAAGGGCTCATCACCTCTATCGCAGAAGCCCTTCAACTGTTGCGCTGATGAATTCGCCACCGCGGGGGCACGGCTTCACAGGTCGCACAATGCTTGGTCGACGTTGCCTTTGGCAACACAAGTTTGCCGCCGTCATTCATAGCTCGGTCGTCGCCATATTTGACCGGCGTCATCGGACGCTCACCCTACCTCACAGGAGGGTTGTGTACTCCAGGTCTGAACCTCCTAACATGACGCCGGACCCGCTCACCATCGGACAACAGGGGGCAGGACACGTGCACAAGGAGGACCACCTCCGCCAGCCCACTTCGACGAATTCGACGACCCTTGGTTGGCACCGCCAGACGTTTTCGAAGGGGAGGACCTCGACCCACTAGGGCTTGTGGCCTCGCTTAGTGATGACGGAGCAAGCGACTTCCCTTCCTAGGCGAAGACAACGCAGTCGAGGACCACCATGATGTGCGCAGCCATAGTATGTCTCTCTTGGCGAGTCGACAACCGCCACAGGATGTCTGAGCCCGGTGGTTACACCGAACCCCGTCTTGAACTGACCCTCCCCATGCGGCCCACCAGGGGTCGACAGGGGTGGCCGAGAGGCCAGGGACGACGGCCACCATGCCAGCGGTACCGCCCAACGCACGGACCGTCGACAAGCACTCACGCAATATGCCACTGCTGCGAATAGTCAACACCGAGGTGTCCTGGAAACTATTTATCGCCTCGCCAGCATTCACGCGCTCCAACAGCGAGCCAACCAGCCGGTGCGTTCCCTGCACCAGATCCAGGAACAGTCGGCCCCGCTGTGCGACAGGTCCCCGCGAGCGCGAGAGGCCTGGAGCGACCTGCAGCGGGCCTGTCGGCCGGCAAAGGAGGAGGAGGAGGAGGAGGAGGAGGAGGAGGAGGAGGAGGAGGAGGAGAAGGAGGAGGAGGAGGAGGAGGAGGGGGAGGAGGAGGAGGAGTAGGAAAAGGAGGAGGAGGAGGAGGAGGAGGAGGAGGAGGGGGAGGAGGAGGAGGAGTGTCAGCACCCCTCCCCACGAAAGGGCTGCGTGAACGATGGGCACCTGCTCCGTCGCCTTTTGCTTGCGGGGCCCGCTCGGGGAACTGCCCCCAGGGCGGTGCCCTTCCTTCTCTCCCCGGCGCCACGTCGCGCAGGCCAGCGTGCGTGTGCAGGCAGGCCTCGAGCGGCCCGATCACTGCAAGCCTGTTCTTGCGGGGCTCGCTCGGGGAACTGGCCCAGGGCGGTGCCCTTCAATCCTCGGCGCCACGCCGCGCGTGCCACGCGCGCGTGTGCAGGCAGGCCTTGAGCGGCCCGAGCACTGCATATGCCCGCTCTGCTTGGCCGTCGGAGCCCCACAGGCAGCGCCCAGGGGGGAGCTCCTCCGATCTGCCCGCGCCTCGTGAGCGGCGCCTCGCGCCTCGTGAGGGAGGGCTTGCGGGGCGCTGGTGGGCTCGGGGCCCGCACGGACCTGCCGTCCGGAGCGCTGCGCTCTCCTCCTTCCTGGGCCCCGTTCCTCCCCTCTCTGCGCCGGGGGTGCCCCTCCCCTCCTCGCCTCCACCCTCTCCTCCGCCCGCCCCTCTGCTCCTTCCGCCCCCCCTCCATCTCCATCTCCGCACATCCTCGCCCCTGCCTCCCCGCCCCGCTCCCCCCTCCCTCTGTCCCTTCCCTGCCTCCCCTCCGTGCTTCCATCCCTCCACAGCTACCCAATATGGATACCACGCTCCTCCCCCCCCTTCCCCGACAACGTGCTGATCTGATCCCGCCCCTCCGCGTTTTTTTGTTGCACTGGGTTCCAGCCTGAGACTTCTGTTCGCGTGGTTTGACAGTTGCATGGTGTTCCCGTGGCAGCGTGGGCTCCCTTGAGGGTCAGGGCGTTGCTCCAGTCGTTGAGAATGGCACTCTCGCCCCAGCGCGTGCCATTGTTCTGGATCCGAGTCCTTTCTCGTCGCTGTCGCCCCGCTCCTCCCCTGTCCTCCACCTTCCCCTTGTCATCCTGCTCCTCCTGCTCCTCCCACACCTGTTCCTGCTGCTGTTGTTCCTCCTTGTCCTTTTCTTCTTCACACGCTCTTCCTCTTCCTCCTGATCATCCCCCCGCTAATCAGCCACCAGATCCTCGTCCTCGTCGTCTTCCTCCCCATTACCCGCCAACGCACACATCTCCTATTGTTTGATGTCTGTTCGCACGATGGTGTTCTCTGGGGGGAGCAGGACCCATGATTTTCTGAGTGTTCAATATTCCTGGAGGGTTCAAAAAGCACGTTCGGAGGGCTAACTCTTTGTTTGACAAGTTGAATACGCGAAGACTTGCAACTTAAATGAACGGTCGGTTGGTTGGGTGGCCGGTGGCTCGGTTGCCCGGTTGGTTTATTGGTTCGTTGGGTGGTCGGTTGGTCAGTTGGTTGCTTGATTTGTCGGTTGGTGGGTCAGTCGGTTGGTCGGTTGGTCGGCAGGCTGTTTGATTGATTGGTTGGTCCGTTGGCCGGGCGGTTGTTTGCGGTTGGTTGGTCGGCAGGTCATTTGGTTGGGCAGCGAATCGGTTGATTAGTCGGCCGGTCGGGTGGATGGCGGCGCGGTGCGTGCTGGGTGGCCTGTTTTCCCGTTTGCCCGGTGGGCGATTTGGCGATTATTTGGTTGGGCGGTTGGTTGGTTGGCCTACTTTGTTTCTTCGCATGGCAAAGCAAGGGGGCGGAAATTGTCATCCATACGTGGCAGCGCTTGAGGAGGAGACATTATATCCAGTTGCATTCGCCACGAGGCAACGCAGCGGGCCGGATTTTTGTGTGCTCACCGCACGGCCCCCCCCCGAGGCGAAACAAACATTGTGCTATTCGACTCGCCACGTGGCAAAGTAACGGGGCGGAACACATAGAATTCTCTTCTTGCTCACCAAGTGGTAACGCAGCGGCGCGGGAACAGTACCATGCCGCTCTTGCTCGTCACGCGGCAGCGCCCGGCGGGCGAAACAGCTTTATTCGATGGTGCTTGCCACGCGGCAGCGCAGCGGGGCGTCCACAACTCCCAATCTAAGAACCCTGTGACGTGGCAGCGGCGCGGAGCGCGCCCAGCGGCGCCTCCGGCGCCGCCCCTGGCGCGCTCCGCGCGCCAGGGAGGGGGCCCCAGCGCCGATCCCAGAAATCCGCGCGGACCTCCGGGTTCTTATGTTCATGCCACTTTCTGTTCCCACCTTTTTTTTCATTTCTCAACAGGTCGCGCCTCGGGGGGCCGGAGGATCGTTGTCTCTGAGCTCTCGGCAGGCGGCGGACGCCCCGGCCTCGAGCCGGCGTGCGCGGGGCCACGGTTCGCACACCCCTCGCGCGGATCGCGCCGCCGAGGCCAGGCAGAATTTTTGTTCATCGAATCCTCAGAGCGAGATCGTGAGTAGCTCACGATCTCGCTCTGAGGATTGCCAGGTTGGCGCCAGATTGGCTCTCGCCAGATCAGATCAGATCGACTCCCTCGCCAGACTGCCAGATTGGACCCGCCAGATTGGCGCCAGGTTGGCTTCGACTACCCAGGAGTTGGACTCACACAAATCTTGAACACTCTGAATCAGAAAAGTATCGACCCTACGTCCCCATTCTCTCCTGTGTCTCAGGAGGGGGACGAAAACACACAGACACAGTTAATCGTCGGTTCCCCCGAAAATGTGGGAAAGTACTTACGGGAAGTGAGGGAAAGACAAACAACCGGAAAGCATGTTGGGAAATATGGGAAATCCTTTTATTTTTGTGGTTATCTATTTGTATGTCCCAGGGCCCCTGCAGTGTCGAGGGCTCCATCTCCGCCGTGACGCCCGTCGGCGGAGAGAGAGAGAGAGAGAGAGAGAGAGAGAGCAGCCTCGGCGCGGGCGGAGGGGGCGGGTGGCAGGGGCCGAGCGCCGGCAGTCGCAGGAGCTGCCCCCGGCTGGCCTCCCCGCCCTCTCTCTGCCCCTCCCCTCCGCTGCGCGCCCTCCCCGGGGTTCCGCCTGCGGTCGTTCTCCCGCGCCCCGCACCGAGAACGAGAGATACCCAGACCTCCAACGCATTGAAAGAATCGAGACGGAGGTTTTTCTCTGTTGTCGGCCTCCGGCGGCCCTCGCCGGGCCCCGGGACCGTCAGAAACGACCCGGGATGAAAGACGGGTCCCAGGGAAAGGGTCGAGACTGCCGGGGACCCCGTATTGAAGAACTCACGACATGGGATCTCTGGCCCTGACCTATGGCCACGTTCGGGACCCCCCTTGAGCGAAGGTCCTGAGCCTGAGCCAAGCTTGATCCCCCCCTCCCCTCCCTCCCTGCCTCTTCTCTCCCA